CACTTTATAAATAATTAATTATTAAATTTATTGTGTAGATCGATGACATTGGAGATATTTTGCGACGCATGGCATTACTGATGCAAAAACATGGCAACTATAATGAGAGATTAACTCAGAATTTAATTGATCATAAAGTTTTACATCAAGTAACCTCAGACGGAGATATTAACGTTTATAAAAACTATTTTATATCTCCTTGGATTCTTTCGGATGCAGAACTTGCGTCAGAAATCGAAAGCTTAATTTTAAGAAATGAACTGTCTGTCGAATATACGAAGTCGATTCAAGACGGTTTATTATGGTTAATCGAATTATTTGATATAAAATGGCGAGAATTGCACGATCTTGATTATATTTCAAGATTGAAACTCTTCAACTTGCAAAAGCGAGTAGAATTTATTTTAGATAATTTATTTAATAGTCAAAATGGAAAAACAAGTAACAATGAAGATCAAAAAATTTCCATAGATGAAAGCAAAAATGATATTTCGAATACTGAAGAGATTAGAAAAACGACTGAGGAAAAGAAAGAAAATCTTAATAAAACGGATAAGACTGAAACAAATAAAAGTAAATTTTTGAAAACAGATGAACATTTAATAACAAACGATACTACTACACTCAAAGTAGAAACACGAATTATGATACATCCCGAATCATCAAAGTATAAAGGTTACAAGGATAAAAGTCCCACTATCAAGATTAATCCAATTAATCAAGAAGTTACAATCAATAAACCTTTAGTTAAAGATAATTCTATCGCGAATCGCGTGTTCCTTTCTAAAACAAACAGACCACGAGATAAAAATCTTAAAAACGGAACAAATCTCGTTCCTCAAGAACATTTCTCAAAATCAAATCAATTCTTAAACAAAAGTCTTCGCGTCAAATCCATGAAACATCATAAAAACCGGTTTAATCAATCAAAAAATATTTCCTTAATTTCACCAAGTGAGAATATTACAGGCACTTTGCAAGCGACTGCTCAACCGAAACATATTGAAACGACTATATTACACGAATCTTTGAAAAATGTAACAGATTTTTCAAAAAATGCCTCGCGAGGCACGCTTGATACTCGCGTTTCTAAAAACAAAGATCAGAGGCAAAAAGACCGACATAGAGACAAAACGACAACAGATAAAATTGCTAATGATCATCGCAATTCGAAGAAAAAGAAGAAGACGGAAATGAAATTTGACATTGGCTCGGCTATGGACGAGATTCTGGGAGCAGTGGACGAAGTATTGTCAACAGCAAGTCTGTGAAGATATCATCAAAAGAATCAAAAGTGACTTCTAGAATATTCTGATACTATATAAAAAAAAAAAGAATTAAAAGAGAATCAGACAAAAATTACTATTATGTTTATCTCTTAAAAAAATACGATGTTGATTATGTATATCTATAATACATTCATATTATTAATTCGTCTGACTCATGTTTCTCAACTTACTCACGCATTTAAATAACTTTTTAATAATTTTACGAATTTTGTTTTGGCTTGTAAATTGGCTTGTAAAACGAAATACCAAACGAATATACCAAAAGTCAAGTCCATTAGAAGTATACTTTCTAGTGTTCTTTGAGATTTTTGTAGGTATACGTGTGCTAATGTTTGTTGCGCAACAGTAAAATACATGCTTGGCACAATTTTACTTTCTCAGACAAGCCCTGATAAATTCTGATAAATCTAAACAGCTAGAATATTTATTAGCGGCGAGAGAAGCATTATGATGGAATACAATAAAATGTTTTGTTAGAGATTAAACACACAAAATGTAGATAAGATTATAACGTTCTCATAGATCCCGAAAGAATCTTTCTTATCTGGACATTCATTAGAAAGTTATGTGATTATCCTGCCATGTATTTTGCAAGCGGCGGCAATTTGAGCAATCGGTGAACGTACGCGGAAAAGTGCGTGACGACAGTTTCAGGCAATTTCCAACATGTCGAAGGATGAAGCAATTAATATCAAATTGGCATAAAAAATACGTCGTATGTCGATTTTCATCATGTTTTCTAAATAGTTTGAAAAATCGCACAGATCATCGGCGCGCGTGCAAATATTAACGACTTCTATCGCATCTTCTTCTTTTAGAGAGCAACTTTCTCAAAAATTAGAGGAAGAAACAAGATAGTTTCCTCGAAAAAACTCGAATCGTTTGTTATTTTTTTTTACTCGAAACGAAAATTAACTGAAAGACCATTAATCTTAGATCTATTAAATAAATAGTGCTTACTTACATGGAACCTCTCGAAACAGTCATATTTAGGCCATCGAGCACTAATTGTTTTTTCCCATAACGCTTTATAGCGTTTCTTACGACCACCGCCTCTTGCTGCACCATTTTGCGAAACGGCGTCGAATGTTCGATCAATGACTGAACTATAACAAAATTTTTTTCTCTTAGATAATTTAAAAATGTTTTGAAATGAGAGTTTTTCAAAATGCTAAATAGCTGGCAAAAATAAGGCAGGTAGAAAAGAGTTACTAACAAACAGTCTGTTTTATTTTTAAGAAAACAAGAAAATTTTCTAAATGTTCTATATCATTTCTATTATAATTTTATCTTAATTAATGGACACTAAATTAAATTTATATTAATAAATAATTAATATACAGACAGATATTAATTACTTATTAATTACATAATTAGTTTATAATTTATATTTTTAAGAATTCTATTAAAATATATTTCACAATTTGTTATTAATAAATTTGACTTTTAAAAAATACAAAATAAATTAATTTCTATAACGAACGGATAAAAATAAAAAATAAACTATGTAAAAGAGATTGTGAATTATTTTTTAACAAATTATTTTTTATATTTGCATCTATTAAGTAAGAAAAACAAATCGTCTGGGTTATAAAAATAAACATTACAGCCAAAAAAAGTGTTGACAAAGTTTCTTGCTGGTTTTTTGCTGACGATTAATTAAATTACATTTTTTGTGATGTATGTCTGGCGAATTCGAATATGTAACTACTTTTTTGTCATCGGCGATGAATTTTGAATACATGTTTAATGTGCTTTAAACTTTTAATCGCATTTTATGACATATTTGCAATTATGTAATTACAATTCTTATATAAAGCTATCATCAATGAAATATAATTAACATAAAGAAAACATCTAAATCATCTTAAAATTTTCGAAAACTGCTTTCATAGTTTCAAAAGAAAAATAAAAAATATGCTTATTTAAATTAAAATTGTAATTCCTACGATATAATTATTATCAAATAATAATAGTTTATTACGTAGTAATAAAATATATAATATATAATAAATTTTGTAGCAATACATGTTTCTAAATTAATAATTATATCAATATTATGCGAATATGAAACAAAGAAGAAACATTTTAGTAATAATCGATTTATTGAATTATCGATAATTGATTTATATAATTGAAGAAATTTGCAATTTATTCTGATTTCCTTAATCAAATCAAATAATTATATAAAAGAATCGCTTGCGTGCAAATTAGTATATAAATAATCTTAAAAATGTGAATTTATTTAAATATTGACAAATACACAAATTATCTACATATTTGCATGTAAGATTACATTATAATGTACAAACCGAACATTTAATTGTTGATTAAAGTAAAATTAAAATAAAATTAATAAAAGATAAAAGTAAAATTAAAGTAAAATTAAAGATTGTTTTTCTTAATTTGTTATGTAGAAATATTTTGAAAATTACGATCAAATCAGGCTAAAATAAAATAACAATATAATTGTGAACGTAGTTCTGTTGATTATGTTTTCATATTACATCTCTTGACTTGCATATCATGTGATGATTTCATAACTTGAATTAATTTGTAAAGATTGCAGGAAGTGTGAAATAATTAAAAAAAATATAGATGTAAAAAAAACAAGAAACTCGCCGTATTATTATCTGCATATTATCTGCATTTTATTATTATTTCTTGGAAATCTATGTGTATTAATTATATTAAATATATATAATATTTTTTCACGATGAATTATATTTTTATATTATATATTATATATTTATATTATATATTATATATTGTTTTATATTTGAATTATATGTTAAGTTAAATTATATGAAAATAATAAAGTAATGTTTAATTATGTTTAATTAATTAATCATATCATATGTTTTTCAATTAAAGGACGTTTATCTTATATCTTTATATCGTTATATCTTTTACCATTTAATACTACTTTATATATAAATACAAATTTAAAAATTTAAATTATGTAGTCTTTTTACTTTTAACTAACTTCTTTATTTTTGTTATAAAACACTTTTAATCTTCGATTCTCTTCATTTCAAATTTATGAAAAAAAATATAATTGTCTTTCTATAGTTTACTTTTACTTATTTATGAATGTTTTAAATTTGCTTAGTATATAATACATACCCCGTTAATCAAATTTGTAAATAAAACATCTTCTTCTTTTCTTATCGAGAAAACTGACACTTACTGTTTTTCTTTTAAAATATTTTTTCTTCGATTAATTTAGATAATCACAAGAATATAACAAAAAGTTGATTCTGTTGTGTTTTTTTACATTGTATTAAGATATACTAAATTCTTTTAAAAATCATACTTTTGTATAAAATATAAACAAAATGTATGAAACATATATCAAATTTTGCACAAATCTAAAAATATTAGAAATATTATTAGAAATATTATTGCACAAATCTAGAAAAGTTTTTATATGATTATTACACACATATTTTCTATCAATTCATCAAAAGATTCTTTTAAAAAAATTCACATCTGACATTCCCCAAGACGTACTAAACAAAGACTGATAACTTTCCAAGCGTGTAGCAGCTTTAGATGTATTACTCATCCCCACTCATTTTGACACAGGATTAATGTATTGAAAATTTATTAACTCTTCTATTCTGCAATTCAAATGAAATATGAGTTATTCTCATATACATACTTGTTTAATAAGGAAAACAAATTGACTTAAGGAAAAGTATAAGAGTAGTATATTTTTTTAAACTAAATACTAGATAATTTTTTAAAATTATACTTCACCTTTGACGAAATGTCTACAATGTAAAAAATTTAATTTCCACTTTTTTCACAAGTATTTGATATAAAAATTAATTTAAAGAATCTTATTTTATCGAATATTTGTAAAAATGTTGAAAGCACATTGAAAAAATTACTGTTTTAAAATGTGATACAAGACAATAATATAATATGAAACAATAATATAAAACAATCTACATTTATATTAAGGAGTTACACTCTGACAGTTTCAAATATTTATGACATTTCTTTAAAATTCCAAATGTGTAGAATATGTTAAAACGATACGATTTGATCAAACACCTGGCGAAGTTATAGTAATCAATAAAAAAGTTATGTTAAAATAGATGGGCTTCAACAAACCGGATATAAAATGAGAAAAGAATTACT